TTGATGTTCTTCAGAGTTCATGTCGGTCAAAGACAAATAGAAATACAGCACTAAATCAATGCTTTGCATATTACAATGTCCAGTTGGCCCTAACCTATCATTTCGTTTTCGATAAATATGGTGACAACAGTCTTTCCAGAAAGAGTATATCTGCTTGGTTTCCTAAGTGAAATAGGCTCCTTCATTTAAGCTTAAACTCATGAGTAAGACAAAAAAGCGTCGCTTCTTGGTCTGGTCAACAAGTTGTTGTTTTAGTATATATGATCTTCAGGGCAAACTTACCAGAGTTTCAGTGACGAGATGTAATCTTCCGGGTCGGCTAAGTCGCGAAAGAGGAGGATGTTATCTAGTAAAAACTCGGCAATAGTTACACTTCCGAAAATGGTGCAAGTTGCAAATTGTAAAACATTAGGTTCTAATTCAGACTATATAGGGTTGAGCTAGCTGCAAAACTTAAGTATAGTGGGTTCGTCTCTCAACATGATTATAAATGTGTGCTAATGGTAGGTCTCAAAATATAGCACATTAACTGTTGAGCTATAAATGATCTTTGTAGGTTAACTAGTTACTATCAGCGTATGAAGAAAGTCACCTTAAGTATTCTAACTTGTACTGATACAAAACATGTAGGATGTGAAAAATGTATATTATTATGCATACAGATAACAGTTAATTTAGAACATTCAAAGTCCATTAATTGTTAAAGCTTTCAACACAAATTCTGATACAATAAAATTTCTGGTTTAGTTAGTTAGCATAATGAGTCGTTTCATTATAATTCAGTTAACACAAACACACTATTGTTGCTGCAAATAATCTCTGTAAAGGGTGAAAAAACAGTAGAATAATTTTAGCAGGTTGATTGAGTTATCTTATGAAATGAAGAACTGAATTCTTCAATGAATAGAAGAATATGTATATATACTACTTACAAGTAGGTGGGGGTGATTCAATCAATTATTATCCTGCCAAAGTGTATCATTATGGACTAACTGCTAAAGTATACAATATCCTTTCTTGTTCAACTCACCCTTGAATGATTTGTTATAACGTATACGCAGAACATCGAAAGTAACTTTACAGTTATCGGTATATTTATAAGTGAATTGATTAACAGTTTTGGATCGCGGAATTACTTTAGTGAAAAATCCATTGAAAACCAGGAATCAATCGGCAACCATCTCATCCTAGTATAAGATCCATCAGCAATGAACATGCAAGACTACACTATGGGTCAAGAGTTTTCGTTTATTTATCATGATATTAGCTCGGTTTGTTTTAGAACTCAGTAGTAGTTATCAGTAGTTAATAATATTTATACTTTTGAAGTTATTTCAATTTAGAGAACGGATAACACTAAGTAGTCCCAAGTTTTATTTAAGATTTACACGGAATCATCTATACTTAATAAATGAGGTCCATTATAATATATCAGTGGTTTATATGTATGACTTCAATCAATTCGGAATACTACACGACCATCATCCAATGCCACTGGTCGGTGACTGCTACACGCCCGACATGTCTGATTCTACTAATCTGAATCTGTTATTAGAACTCCCAAAATTTCCTCATAAAAGTCACTTGGAAACTCATTTCAAAGAAGGTTGCTAGCTTCATGTGACAGGAGGCTAAGTTTATTTCAATGTCATTTAATCAAATGAGTTAACATTTTTTGCATGAACTCATTTACTATGCTATAAAATTTAGTGAGATCGATCCTCAGTCTCTTATGTAGAGCAGGTTAGATAATAAATAAAATGAGTTAAATTTATTAAATTCGACTGTATTTTTCTTTCCAAGCGTTATTCTTAAACTAGACGGTTGAAATTTAAAGTGTTTGTTAGCCTGATAAACAAAACTATACGTCTAAAATTCTGAGGAACGGATTTTTAGAGGATAATTTTGTATAGATAATAATTCCATATTATTTCACATTGGTTATCTAATACTGATAGCTTTGATGAAAATAACATCATTTCTTATAAGATTTGGATTATCTGTTGATGAATTGTGACACTACATCAAACTTCTAAAGATTCCAGAGCATTCTTACAGGTTTAGAAGTAAGACGATTAAATTCAATCAGTATGAGACTTTGGACCCGGGTGTTGTGACTGTTGACACAAGGAAATGAAACTCATCTGAGAATTAAACGATGCGTGAATATTCTTAGGGACTGCAATCTTTGCCAATAGGCACCACATGACTATTCTTCTGACCTAACTGATTCAAGTACATTAATCAGCTGTGTCAGTACCCAGTATTAAGTTACTTAGATTTACAACAAACCTTCAATGTGTCTGATATAACTCATTCGACACAAAAATCTAAATAGTTTGATTCTGATTACTATTCATTGGACATTTTGAATATGCTTGGGGCGTTTTTCAACTAACCAACTGTAATTTTATATTTTTGTAGTTGAACTCATAAACTAACTTATTTACTACTTATTTAAATTGCCCGATAGTATTTTATGAACTTTCACATTTAATCTGTTTATGTTTATATGTGAGAAGATATGAAGAACTGTAAAACGTTTAGAGAATGGAAATAGATGTGGAATGGACTATTTAACCAGTTTTTGAAGTGTATAAATTCATTTATTAGAGATATTATACAAAAATAGTTTAAAAATCATCCCTTAAAATGATCATTTATTTGATGTCATGAGTTGTATAACAAGTAAATTGTGATAATCGAAAGTATTTGAATTATAGTATGAACTAAGAATACCAGAAATAACGTAATCGGATCAAGAACTACTAGATAACCACAAACGAATTTACTGTATTTAGAATTCGAAATCAAGCATTCAACAAGTACGAAGGTATCATTAGTTCATTCAAACACCACATCCACCACAGCTTAAATTAGAGCCTAATTGTCTGTAGTCGATTGTGCATCTTCTTCTTAAGTTCATCCTGTGTCTGTCCGACAGTGTATTGGATAAAAACTCTGTATGATCTAGAATGTGCTCATTAGTATTGGAATTAACAAACAAAATCGGAACAGATTCACTTGGTTCCTGGAATTGTCGGTTGTGTACCGAAACCACTATCTAGAATTTAAAGAACAGATTTCCCAACAATACCCTCCCCCACGAAATAATGTTGGATATTTATATCCCCATGAATCATTTTACGAAATCTTCCTCCTTTACCGCATTCGAAATGTGTATACTTAATATACTCTAACAGTAGGTCCTTGAGAGCTGTATAAGAAAGCGAAATGGGCTTTTCCGGTAAAGCCAGAGCTTTTACTAAGCTATATGCTTCTTTTCCAATGAATGTGGGCGAATGTGCCACAATATTAACATCCTCATCATCTTCCTTGGTCATAGCCCGAATTTCGAACCTTTCAAAGTAATCCTCAAAAGCATCAAAATCTGAATGTATATCCAACTGTTCCATCACAGGCTCCATCGCGACGCCAATGTAATAATTAGAAGTATTTGAATTATAGTATGAACTAAGAATACCAGAAATAACGTAATCGGATCAAGAACTACTAGATAACCACAAACGAATTTACTGTATTTAGAATTCGAAATCAAGCATTCAACAAGTACGAAGGTATCATTAGTTCATTCATACACCACATAAATTTATCAAGAAAATATTTTTTGCACATGTCTATTTAACAAAAGCTTGTAAATTTAGTTAATGCTTTTCAAAACTCAATAAACTGCAACTCAATTTTTCTTATATTAACCACAAATGATATCAAATAGGATAATATCAGAAAATTCATACAAGAAGCTTATATGCCAGTATGTCATATCCTAGTGAAGATTAAATTACAGGTAAATACTGAGACCTATTAATCGACTAATATAATCTATATATTCTTATGGTATGCTCATTCAGTAATTAGATTGTATGTATTTATATTCATCTTATCATAAGCTTCATTTTGACCTATAGATTATCATTGTACGATTTATTGTTCTTAAGTTATATTCAATTTATTAATTACTGTCTCCCACGTTCACAGCCACTCTTTGGCTTGATCTTGTATAAATTTTATTTCTTATTTTATGATGTGATGCAGTCTGTTTGGCTGGTATATAAACTAAGTATATTTGAAATAAATGATTCGCATAGTGGAAGCTATATTGGTGTTCTGGATTACACTGGACGTTCTAGGCAAACAAAGGTCTAATAAGGACGCTAGGCTGCTCATACCGATCGAACGTCATTAGTTTAGCACAGTGTCCATATTGAATAAGTCGTATTTCGATTGGCGAATAAATCACGTGATAACTAACCGGGCTTGAAGTCACAACAATAAGCTTATAAGCTCCACTGATGAGTCCAATCCTAGGACGAAAAATCTGTTTAGTACTTCTTGATCTGCAACAATTTACTATCTGAAGTCAGTTCGTAATATAATTTGACAAAATTCAACAGTCTTCACAACTCTCTATACAAAAATTTGACCATGCGCTCAATACTGACAAACTTTGCAAAGTAAATTCTGACGTTCTAGGGAGAAACCAAAAACCAGTAGATTTCAATCATTCTAGGAATGAAACAATTGTCAATGACGATAGAGAATGATTCTATAATATCGTAAATAGATTGAAGTTAGAAATTTAGAACATTGGATGACAATCCAATGATTTAAAGGTTGGACTTATCTATACATATATAGCCTATCGAATTCTGTTATTAATAGATTGTATATACATTAAATAATTTATTAACAATTCTATTTCCAAAATATTTTACTCATTTCATAATGCTGGTAGAGTAATATTAATTTACCAATGAAAAGTCAACCTTAAACTGATTGCGTTTCATCATAATCAATCAATCAATCAATCAATCAATCAGTCAGTCAGTCAGTCAGTTAGTCAATGATTAGTTTCTATCCAAAATTTGATAAATAAATTGATTATTTACTTAAACCGCTTTTTTTTCTATGTGAATTTATTTACTTTTATTGTTAATCAATTTGTTTCTTCCCTCTCTCTCTCTCTTTATTTCTCAAAAGAAGATCGGAATTGCTCAAATTTAGAAAATATCAAAACTTTTTATTAAAACAAAACGCAGAGTAGAACTTTAATTAAGTAGGTCTAATTTAGTTGAATATTATTTTATCATAATACTTATTTTATTGTTTTCTATTCTTTAGTTTTTAATTATTGGTATTTTATAGGAAACTGTTGATAATTTTCTGGGGAAAAAATACTAGTTGAGTAATGAAATAGTATTTTTCAATTAGTTCTCTATTATGGTTCCAGGTTAATATACGTAAATTGTTCAATTAAATATAGAATTTAGTGTCAGAAGGAGTTTTATGGACATAATAGTAATTTTAATAGTTGAGATCATGAGTCAATAGAAGATAGACCATCATGGAAAACCTGGAAACATTGAACAGCCGTTTCGTTCCACTGCGAGACTCCTCAGCAGTGCGCATTGATAATCCCGCCTCGCGAGATTTGAACCCAGGACCTGTCATTCTCGCGCGTGAGCGCTTAACCATTGGATCACTGAGCCGGCATCCAAGGGTGTTAATGTCTAACTTCGACTAATCCACGAAATTAAGCGACACATCCACATCTGCACTGCTGAGGAGTCCCACAGTAGGACGAAACGGCCGTCCAGTTTTTACAGGTTTCCCATGGTTGTTAAGCTTCTATTGACTCACGATACCAACTATTGAAACATATAATTGTTATTAATGTAAAGACAGGAGATCAATTTAAATAGGTGTAAAGAAATTTAAGTTGTTAAGACAAATGACTTTAAAATAAGTTAACCACTGTCGTGAAATGTCGCAGATTGATTGAATTTAGGTATTAACACTCTTAGATGCTGACGCAGTTGTTCGCGCATGATACCGAATGTTCTAGATTCGTGTCTTCGTGTGGGACTGTGGATGCGCACTGCTGAGAAGTCCAATGCTATGAAGAGATTTCTATCCAATGCTTTATGGTTTTGAGTGGTGGTTCAACTTAGATCGGTTCATAATTTCAATAAAGTTCAATAAAGTTCAACAATCTCCACAACCTTATACTTAAAAATTAGAACTGAAAAGATTGTACATACTGAACTATTAACCAAATCTCATGTTAATTGGCAAGAAATCCCTACAAATAGCGTGAAAGATTTTCCATATAATGAAATTGGAAAATAAGTTGTCGAAATTGAACATGTTGATATGAAAGATTATGTGTTCTCCGTGGATTTGTAAAGAAATACAAATGAGATTCGCATTTGCGAGTAGTGACACGAAATTATTGTTAAAAAGGCGAAAACATGGTGGCCTTACTACGTTATGTTCCTTGAGTCTCAATGATTGTTCAAATTATATTGCACTGTAACCTTAATGATAAATACTTCCCTCTCCTTAGAAAAAGCAACTAGATTCTTAAACATTGTTACTAGCTTTATAGGTTTTAATGGACAGTATTAGCCGAAGGGAGTTTGTCAAATATCATACCCATACATTGACACATCCTAAATAAAGCGTTGCTCTTCCTCTTACTTCTCGGAGTAGTAGTAAGAAATTTTTCTCTCCATACGTAACCTAATATAGATTGCTTCTCTTGACCATAATCGCTTTTTTTCCAGTTTGTCCTCAAAGTATAAATCTTACGATATCCGGAAACCAGCACTGTCAGATTCTATTGTATCCAGAGTATTTTCATAAGAAATAGCAACATTAGATTGTATTACATGGTAGTCGAGGCTGGTTTTCATTTGCTGGATAGTATTCTATTTGTAGTCTTAATGATTATGATGAAACTTGCTAGTTAATACATCTTCATACCAAGTGTACGTATATTATAATTAATCACGAAAATCCGATCATTCTTTAATTATATCATTTACATTAGTTAGTTCTAGATAGTTTATTCAGTTAAGTGTAATTTGTATTCATATATATATATTTGAGTTCATACAAGATTCATTATGAATGAAATCTAATTTATGATACTTCAAGACTTAGAAATGAAGAATAAAATTCTGTAACTACAGTTTATTTAGGAGCATGAAAGTCATGTGAACATAATATTATGCCTCATGCAGTCATTATTAATTCCGGGATTTTAATTTAATAGAGGAATATCGCACTTAGTGAACACTCTATTTTAAACACAGAATAGCGTTTTCATTAAATTAAATAAGTGATTAAATAACTATTGAATCATTTTGGAAGAGTATAATCAGTGCTTCTAGAATGTGATTTATTTCATGACCAATTATTCAGTTATTATGACAACGGAATTCCTGTTTGAAATAATGGAAACGGAGAAAAAATCGGTGTAACTAGCTAAAAACTAGTCAAATATTGATCCATGTTATTACTAGTCTGTCAAAGTTATTAACGGATACATATTCTGTCACACTTTTATCAGGTACTTCTTTACTGAGGTAAAACCACTAGTTATCAGTTAGATTTAACTAATACAAACCAGGTGATTGGTATGAGTAATATAAGTTCTAGAAGCAATGATATCAGATTTACTTTGTAAAGGCTTAAGTTATAGCGCCGTTGACATTCGTGACTAAATTTGGACCAACCTTAGCTGACATATATATGCATCCTGTGTGAATTCTTGTGATATAACTATTCTGTCACAAATTTTATAGAAGAACTAGATTCCAAATAGTAGTGGAAGCTGGGAGGCTGACACTGATCCATAAGAAGGTAATGGAAAATGTAAAAATGGAATAGAAAATCTTTAAAAACATCAAACGTTAAAAGAACCAGCAGTTTTATTCAGCTCCAGTCAAGTCAGGATGTTAGTTTTGTATTATTTTGTACCCATCAGGGTTAATGTTTACACCGGAACTCAAACTTATTACAGCTGGCTTGAAACACTCAATGTGTTATCTACTAAACTATCGAGTTCAGATAAACATTTAATTCTTGATGATTTGGATTATCTAAGGATTGATATGTTAACTGATGTTTAATCAGTTTTAGCTGAAATATAAGTATCTTCTATGAGACTTGTGGTAAAATGTCCAAACTGAAGTAATCAGCACAGAATCAGTTTTAACTTTATTCAATTATACTTCAGTCTATGAAGCCATTGAATTCTGAATTGATTGTATCAAGGCATGGAAACGCTTTATTCAAGGGTTGATGGGATAATCACAGACTATGATTAGAGACCTTTTGTAACATGGTTCAGAATGTTAGATGTATTCTGTCTTCATCTTCATCTAGATACTGAGTTTTAGTATTACTTCATAATTATTATTCCCTATTATCATTTATTCTTATTGAACTTACTGAGTTTAGTTGTCCCCTGTTACTGACAGTCTTACTAGTTATACTTTTACATTTTACTTGTTGTAGGTTTTCGATCCCCAAAGTGATACAAAGTGAGATTAATTGAATCGGTGGATATTCGATTGAGTTCCTAGAGTGTTTATGATTGACTGAACCTCAGCTGGTATTGCGATAGTAACATTAATGTTTGCGTACAAACGTACAAGTGATACACTATGATACAGTAATTCATTTAGTTGATATTAATTTATGAAGAGTAAATGTTTGATGGTGTTGCAATCTATGTTTAGGTCACTGGGAACATGATCATAGTTACTTTAATTCAAAAATAATAAATGCTTTATTCCATTTAACCAAGTTTGTAATATCTTAGTTGAAGTACTATTCAACTGTTCGTAATACTGATTGTATAGAAGTTTCATCACGAAATGACCTTTGGAAAACTAAGAAACAATAAACAATTACTTGGTTTAGTGAGAATATCATTTATGGTTGTCCCTTGAGCGGCGTTAAAGTGACCCTGAGAATAGTTATCTACCTAAGAGATGGTTGTAAATTAGTATAAGGAATTAGGATTAGAATTTAGAGTTAAACGTCAGGGTTAGGAATCGTAGTTAGTTTTTTCACCGCGAACGGACATCAGCTATAATGTCAAAATACTATTTCGCAATAAAAATGAATGAATTTAACGCCAAAATCCAATAGTTACTATCTTAAATCTTATCGGTTCATTCATAAATTACAGTCTCGCCGATTATTCTATTCAGAAATTCTTCAGTAGTATGCATTACCTATCTCACGTGATAGTGAAACTAGAACATTTACGTGTGGTTGTGACCAACCAATTCATAATACTTCTTGACCATCATCTATTATCATAAGCTGCTCTGTTATATTGCACTTGGTTAGTATGAACGAGGTGATTTAAAAGTTGTAGGATAATTTTAAAAAGGATTATTTCTATTTAAACTAGACAATGATGATACTGTCAATAACAATAGTGCAGTTTTCTTAATCAAATAACCCAGCTTAATAGAAGGATTTATTTCTATATCCAGTGTTACGATTAGGGTCATTGTCACTGCACCATTAACGGATATTTATTGAGCAATATTTCATGGATATCTTTTTTTAAGAATTATAAAAAAACGGACTATGACCGACTGCTCTTTGAGTAACTAAACTTAAATCAAGTGGGCTATACTTGTGTTATTGAGATTTCCTGAAGTCACTACCTGTAACTACCTGATACAGATTAGCTCCACTGGTCACAACACCTTACTAGAATTCCGAGAATTCACGAAGCTAGTCACTTGTGAGCACATAATTATCAGTATGGGGTTATGGAGATTGTTAAGTTTTTTATTGAGATCATGAATCAATGAATGTTGAACCACCATTGAAAACATGGAAGCACTGGACAGCCATTTCGTTTCCAGGTTTTCAATGGTGGTCTAACATTCATTGATTCATGATCTCAATCAAAAACTTAACAATTTCTACAACCACGCACTGACTTTTGAGATTTGTTGGTGTCCTCAATCTTCTTTAAAGCTGAACAGACAATAATACCTGATTAGATAATACAGTAATTGCCGGTAAAATCTCTAGAGCACAAATCAATAATTTGGAAAATCAATAAACAGTATTGTTTTTAACAAAATTCCTAATCTTAAATAAGATGTACTCAACAACCTTTAGTAAATAACGTCTTTGTGTAAGTATAGCTTTGTTTTAGTTTACTACATTGCTTAATAGCTCAATCAATCCACAGGGCATTACAATGCAGAATAACGAACATGATGAAGATGTTGTTATATGGACAAAATCACTACATCAATCAATAAATAGTCTAAATATTCGTCAGTTGGAAGATATCTTAGTCAAATTAAAGACAACAAAGGGGTTGGAATTTACAAAAAATGTTATAAATCATTTGATTGATGGAGAAAATTCAGTTTATGTTGCTGTAGAAGCTGGATTCGATCAAGCGGTAAGACTAATCTATTAATGTATATATATAATTAAGTGATTTATAATTCTGTTTGTTAAACTGGAAGTTAGAACTTGATAGTCTGACCAAGTACTCAACCTGTCTTTACGTAGAGCAAGTTCATAATAAGCGTAATACTGTATGAGATCTTCAAAAGTGTTTTATTGATTGAAAATATTTTTATTCATCTCAGATTTCTTTGGTTAAGGGTTCGTAACAGACATATAACTGAACGATGCCTCAGAAATAGAAAATTTCTATTCGGATGGAGAAAATTTTCAATTCTGCTTTCAGTCTGGACGCCATTTTAAAAGAAACGGTTTGTGTAAAGAAGTATATCTTCAATTTACTTAAGTTCTATGAAATAAATCATTTTATTTGCGCATATCAATTGTTTACATTAGCAGTAATAGGATTTGTATATTTGGTCTATTCATTTAAGGGTGCCTTAATATCGAATCAGCTTAATCCATTTATTTTGATTTTAGTTACCATACATTATCTCCAATATTTTTAAAACAAGTGAGAATAACGGTAAAGGAGATTTGTGACGCGATTATTCAATTCGAATGCAACAATTATCACCGAACTATTGAAAGCCAGGGTACACTGGCGAACTATCTCACCATAGTTTGAGACAACTCAACAACGTGTACAAAAATCCTATTTTATCAATATTCATGAGCTCAATAATTACTGGCTTAGAAAAAACTTAGAAACCTTCAGTCTAATATTGAATTCTTGCCAAGGGCATGATGCAAACTATTAAGGAGTCTCAATCTTGGGCTAAATATCTATTTAATAATGACTAGTTTTCCATGGTTCTCCAGTTGCTCTCAATCAGAACTGGAAATTATCTTAAAAATAAGTGTGATTCACCGAGTAATACAGGTCTTCATATGTGGTTAATGACATTTTTTCTTCCTCTTTCTTTTTCCAGTGAGTAAAATATTCAACCTAATTTTGTGTTGATTATCATTGTTTATTCGTTCATTTAAGAGTTTTATTGAATTCAGAAAGGAAATATTAAAAAGAAAGTTTAAATTTCTCATCTCTATTTATGGAGGTGAATAATTCTACTACTGAAAACATAATAGTTTCATTTATTTTATGTGATATTCCTTGTTGTTACAAACTTTCCAAACACGTATCGACTATTGTTGTTGTTACCAAGATGGTTGACGAATTCACTGTTGTTTGCCTTTATAAAGGCATGATAATTTCAAACAACAAACAATTTATACTGAACGGAATAAAAAAATTATCTCCTGAAAATCATGTATCTTCTATTCGAGAGCTATGGATCAGTAGTGCATTAATTCAACTTTTTTACGACAGATAAATTTCTTGGTTCATACTGGAAATTTTAGTCTAAGAGAATTCATAGTATTGTATCTAATACGTTGGTACATATTAGCTAATGGCTACAAAGTCAACAAAGATACTTAATGTATTAAGATGTCATGTTATGCCATCTTTACTAGGGGTCTTCAACAGAACGTTGATTAATGAAGATGTTTTACAAATTTTTGGCGTTCAAACTAAAAAATTGATTTTGATTACTGATGATGATGGGATACATGTTCATAAATTTGCAAAGTATCTGTTTTCCAATGTTTAATAGGTATGCTATATCTAACGTTTTTTGTTCATTTGGTTAGCGAACGCTACATATAAGTGCATAATGTTCCCATGGGATTTCTTTTCAAGCTTTAATTTACCAATTTATGCTTTTTTACGCCTAACAAGTTGAGATGCGCTACAATAGCATGTTCATATATATATAGGGAGAGAGAGCTTCGGATGATTAAAATGAAATCCCCAGTGAAAACCATGTTCTTATATGTAGCACTGACACACTAAATGAATGGTGAGATGTTAAAAGAATGTTATATAATGCACTTTTATTGGACATTGCAAAAGGAAATGCAGTTTAATAATTCCGTAAAATTAATTTAAGAATATCATGAAAAGAAAATAAGAAATTCATTCGTATTTCAGAAAATTTCAATCCAAACAATTGATCTTAATCTTTGAAGATATTAGATCATTATGTCACATCATTACTCAATGAGTATTATTTTATAATTTTATATCACATACATACATATTAGTATAGAGCTATGACAAAAACCTAATTTAAAAGAAATTTCTTCTGATCGAGTGACGGGAAACACGGGATACAGTGGACATCTAGGATGCAGCTGGACGATCTAGACTTCGCAGATGAGCTGGCCCTTCTATCCCAAACGCAACAACAAATGCAGGAGAAAACGACCAGTGTAGCAGCAACCTCATCAGCAGTAGGTTTCAATATACACAAAGGGAAAAGCAAGATTCTCCGATACAACACAGCATGCACCAACCCAGTCACAATTGACGGAGAAGATTTGAAAGATGTGAGAACCTTTACATATTTGGGCAGCATCATTGATGAACAGGGTGGGTCTGATGCAGATGTGAAGGCGCGGATCGGTAAACCAAAACCAGCATATTTACAACTAGAGAACATCTGGAACCAACACCAATACGAATGTCAAGACAGTTCTACTGTATGGAGCAGAAACCTGAAGAACTACGAAAGCCATCATCCAGAAGATACAGGTGCTTATCAGCAGTTGTCTACACAAAATACTTCGGATCCGTTGGCCGGACACTATTAGCAACAACGTACTGTGGGGAAGAACAAACCAGATCCCAGTGGAGGAAGAAATTAGGAAGAGGCGCTAGAAGTAGATAGGACACATATTGAGGAAAGCATCCAACTGCATCACAAGGCAAGCCCTCACATGGAAGCTCAATGCCAAAGGAAGAGAGTAAGACCAAAGAACACATTACGCCGAGAAATGGAGACAGACATGAGAAAAATGAACAAGAATTGGATGGAATTAGAAAAGAAGGTCCAGGACAGAGTGGGTTGGAGAATGCTGGTCTGCGGCCTATGCTCCATTGGGAGTAACAGGCGTAAGTAAGTAATTTTTTGATTGAGATCATGAACCGACTGATGTTAGACCACCTTTGGAAACCCGGAAGCACTAAACGGCCGTTTTGTCCTATTGTGGGACTCCTCAGCAGTGTGCACACAAGATCCAGTGCTCCTAGGTTTTCAAAGGTGGTCTAACATCGATCGGTTCATGGTCTCAATCAAAAAATTAATAATCTCCACAACCCCTTTACTAGAAATGTCTTCCTTTTATTTTCCTTTTTACTAAATGTTTAAATGAAACTTTTCACTATACAAAGACGTAAGAAATCAATCAGAAATTTTCTACACATAGATTGTTTAATTGATCATCGATATCAGTTCTGTATATAAATTTTTCTAAATTAATCATTTTAATGACCTGACCTTAAAATTCACAATTAGCTTAGTAGGTCCCTAGATTTATTGATTAATTATATAGTTAGTTATTGAGTTAGTGAAACTATGAAGCATAAAACACAGCTATTATTATGATTCTAAGTTGTGGACTTTTTCTGCTTCTGTGTAATAAACACTTCATATTGTACAGTTTAAGGGAACAAAGTAACATTTAAACTAAATTGAAATGAGAACATTTATAATGATTGGGAGTTTAAGTAGTCGAAGTAAATCATCCATCATGCATTAAGTTGTAAACTTAGTTTTAAATCAGCGTAAAGCAATTCCAATGTTTATACAACGTTAGTTTGAATAATCAACTTCGAATAATTAAAAAGAAAAGAATTTAAACAATTTATTCATTTGAGTTAGTATGGTATGGGATGTATACTGGAAACTTTGGAGCTTCAAAATATAGAAACAACTATCTAACACATAGATCATTTCAATATGGTTAACCAGAAATGTTAACTACTGTTAATATTTTGTTCAAAATTCAAATTTTATCTTTTCAAGTACTGAATAGACTTAAAATACCTAACATTTTGCTAGCATAATCATCCGGTCTTTGCAGTTTGAATTATATTTTAACAAGTTGGTTTAGTTTATCTTCTGTCCTTAGTAGGCTTCATGATTATGTATACATTTCAATTTGTTTAAAAATATGTTCGTTCTATATCATTTCAGGTTATACAACTCTTGAATACAGATATGGTGAATATTATCCAAAGAAATCTTCAGAATAACTGGACAAGTCTTCATTTGGCTTGTCATTTGGGACTGGCGACAATAGTCAAATCACTTTTAAATTGTAACACATCCAATAAATTCATAAGAACAAATGAACTATATCAGTTAATATGTATGCAAACAACTGAAATTGAATCAGCCAGTCAGGGCACAGCTTTACATTTGGCGGTTTATTCCAAAAATATAGAAACAGTAAACCAACTATTACATGATGTTGTTCTGATAAGTAAATGTTATGAAAATCAGTGTATTAAAAATAGGAAGCAACCGAAAGAAGAATTGAATTCTAAGGGAAAGTTATTTGACGAATTCTGTGTACTGACAGATAAAAATGGAAATACGGCACTACATTGTGCAGTAATGGATAAACTGTATGTTCGTTAACTTACCATTTTTTTAGTTTGGAATTTTCAGTTTCTAATTTATGAAGGAATCATCGAGACACGATTGGAAAATCAAGTGCTGGCTGAACATTTTAAATCCGGATTTGTGATTAATATACTATATTAAAGCTAGTTTACTTAATAAATACAAACATTATGGAATGAAACCAGTTTTAGGCAGCGACATGATCACACTCACTTAAATGATAAAGCAGATTTGATCAGTTATGAGAAATTTGGAATTTTTATTATCTTTTAGGTAGAATTAGCGATTGTGTTTGATAAGTTATTATAATACTTATCAGACAATTTAAGAAAAGTGAGAGATGATTGGATAGCTTATTGTGATTCACAGTTGTCGAGTAATGCATACTTCTAGAATACACTAGTCTGTGACAGCCCATTTCACCCTAGTATGAAACTCCTCAGCAGTGCACGTCTACAAATTCAGCCATGGTTGAACTATGAACATTCAGGACACGCATCAGTTTAAATATCAAGCACTCTACTTGATATTTGAAAGTCCTAATTTCGATCTTTGTTGAGTTCGTCTATGTGTGCCGCTGGGGAGTCTAGTGTTCATATATCATGATACCAAAAAATCTTTTGATTCACAGCTTAAAAATCAGGTTTTTATAATTTTCTCTTGATGGTTTCGATGAAAGATAATTTATATTTAGGTTGTATTGAACAGTGTTTACTTACTCAAGATTCAAGATAGAATTACAGTTGCAGTACATGTGACCTCTAAGACTTTTCATAAAAACCCAACGTTAATTAAACAACCATTCTATAAATCAGGAAATAATAGTGGAAGAGATTCCTATTAATTTTGAAAGTTTCATTCCAAATCATCGATCACCACTAAAAATATATCTCTGTACCTAAGACTTTCGATTTTGAAGTATTGGTTTTCATTACTGACTAACGTTGGCTAGAAAATGACTGAAAATCAGGGATCATTGAAAAGGTTTTCCGCTCCAGTTTGAGATTTCGCAAAAATGCACACTAATAGCTCTATACACACAAGACCAAACTCAAGACCTTCAAGTCTTATACTGAATGGAACCATTATTCGACGTTGGATCTCCTCAAATTACAACATTCATAATAGTCTTGTGCTGAATATTGAATAGATTTGAGGCTGACCTAACAAATTTTTAAAGCAAATATGTAATGTGTAGAGTTAAGTAAATCGGTAATGATAAAGCAATACACTGGTAAAATTGACTGACATTTTGAAATATGTATTACTGGGTTTCGTTTCGGTAATATAAATAGTTTTATACTCACTGTGAAACATAAAAGTTTTATTTTTCAATCTGGTTTAGTATTGCATATAAACGATAGTGAGAAGTTTTAAACTAGAATGAAATAAATATCAATTACATTTCGTATTTACTTGATCTCTTGGATGATGTTAATTAGCAGTAGAAAGTAACTTTAAAGTGAATTACACCTGTAATTTTCCACTTTACTAATACTTTACAAAAATTGTCAAACAAAGTAATCTAAATTCATTTGGTATTGTTTGGCTTGTATCTTCCCATTGAGGTTTAAGACTGCAATTGATCAGTCTGTTATTGACATATGTGCATACTCTGCGTATGCCTCGATATTGCCTTAATTCACAAGCTTTTTGTAGGCAATGATGGATAGTGGCTAGACGCTATCTAAGTTCCGACGTTATATTAGTGTAATTTGTTGATAAATAAACATTTCACTGTAAAAACAAACATGCAAATTACATAATATTAATAGATTACTATATGATTTCACAGTTTTAATATCAAACTAGAAAAAATATTGTCGAGTAGTAATGATGAAGTATTCTCAACTTTAATGAACTGATTGTTTTATATTTTACAATTTTAAATAATTATTTGATTAATTTAAACTTTTTTAACGTAACCAAATCAATTGATCTCAATCAGAAAGATATCCTACTTTTGAATAAGAAAAAGTGAATTTAGTGAAGAAGAAAATTTTCGGCGAGACTCTAATTTATGGACGAGTCAATCAGAGGCGTTTTAGAGATTTCAAGGTTACAGCGCCTGCTTGAGCATCTGGGCTACCTGTTCCTGCCATCTAGATATTTCAACAAGTTATCTATTGTTGTTTGTTTTAATATATCATTATGTTCATTAATCGCATAACCTATTCTGCTGCGTTTCTGAAAAGTGTACAACCTTTCGTTGTCAAAGTTACAGAAAACTCAATAAGAGACAATATGGTTGCTGGCAATGTACAACGAAAAGAATGTACATTATTCAGTTGTTCATTCACTGAAGTGCTAACATCTAACTGGCGATTCCTCAATATTTATCGCCAGGACCGACCAAGAAGAAAAAAACGGAAACTTGTTGAAATACTTTGCGCTGAGAATTCTATATTGTACCAAAATTATAATATTGAATAAAGCTAATAATAATAATAATAATAATAATAATAATAATAATAATAATAATAACTTCAGTGCTTAATGTTAACGTACGATGGGTTCACAAGGAATTTTGTACAAAACGTGATAATTGAGCGGCTATAACAAAGAAAACGACGAGACTATAATTTGTGGACGAATCAATCAGGTATAAGATAACAGATCTCGGATTTGGGCACGAGAGCCTTTCATCCATTTGGCTAAATAAAATTTCTGGCATTATAGCTTATGTCAGTTCGTGATGAAAACCCCATATATAATTCCTAACTAAGGCAAATTACGACGATTATCGCGAACTGAATAATAAAAGCATCAGTAACACTGGCTGCAGCCAGGTACTACAATGTATAAGGATGATTGGAAAGCCTACAGACTCCTACATAGGCTTGGTTATGTGCATCGTGTCGTTATCCGCAAGTAGCATTTTGTGCACTGAACAACTGCAGTGCACATAAACAATATTGAAGCTATGCGGTCGAGGTTGAAAGAGTTTTTGAGACTTTATCATGACTCCAGAGGCCGACTATTCTGTAGTCGTATGGATGATTTCCTCTACTTCATGCATTACGATTTTAGAACCTCTGAACCTCTTTCTAACCTTGACAAGTTTTTGAACCACGTATAAGAAGTGTATCCACTTTATTTCTTTGTCTTTGTATAACATATTTCTACTCTATACTGACTGTTTGCTGATTGGCTAATATTTCTCAAGATCGCTTAAGATTCGTTCAAAGGTCGTTCATAAATTAGAGTCTCTCCAAATTTTTTTTTCAACGAAATCATTCCCTTCAGCTGTACATTCGTATATATAGTTATATGGAAAACATATGTCTATAGAAGGATAGGAAAGATTGCATCATAAAATGGATACAAGATTCTTATTATCAAATGAGATTATATACTAATCAATGTAGACCTTAAGTAAATGATTTCATCATAAATAAAATTTTCTTCTTCATTGAATTCTCTATTTCATATTCAATGAATGATATAAATGGTTATTTTAATTACGCTTTTTTTAAAAAATAATTTTCCAGTTACGATATTGTGAATACAATTTGTAAATATCATAATAAATCAATTCGTTTACCAAATAAACATGGTTATACATGTATTTATTTAGCTAAAAATATATTAAAAGATATGAAAATGTTATCCTTATTAATTCAATATTCAAATTCATTCATAACTTCATATAATTCTGGACAATATTTATTTAAACAAAATAATTTTATAAAAAATACAAAAATTTCAAATTTGAATCAGTTAAATATGAAGAAATCATATTCTAATTTGATTAAAAAATCAGAAAATAATAATAATAATAATAAAAAGAAGAAATTGAAGAAATTTAATAAACCATTGAATCATTTAACAATTGATCAATTAAACAAGAATTTAAATTTGAATTATGGGTTTACTAATAATAAGAAATATTATTCTTATTCATATAATGATGAAGATTATCATTCTGTTCGTACATTATCTACAAAATTTTCATATATATCAATGAAACAGAATAATAAAAATTATTATAATAGACCTTTTAGTGGATTATCTGGTAATCGTGTAGATTTGAATGAACGTGAATTAAATAGAAATTCTCGTTTAAATATTGAACAAAACTATATTGAGGATATTTATGATGTACAAAATAAAAATAATTCAATGCAATATAGTAAGTGATATTAACTTTAGTTTATTAGTTATTAAATATAGCGTTCTACAATTTTTTTTAATTTGATAAATCTAGGCATTTAGTTAATTTCAATAGTCGAGATCATGAGTCAGTTGAAGCTAGATCACCATGGAAAACCTGGAAGCACTAGACGGCTGTTTCATCCTATTGTGGGACTCCTCAGTAGTACCCTTCTACAACCCCGCCTCGCGGGACTCGAACCCAGGACCTATCAGTCTCGCGCGCGAGCGCTTAAGCACTAGGCCACTGAGCTTGCATCCACCGGTGTTAATGTCTAACAACATCTAATCCACGAAAATTAAGCGACACATTCACTACTGTCATCAGTGAGTTACTATCTTACAACTGACCAGGTTGAACTCCACTGGTCACTGCATCCCACTAGAACTCCAGGAAATACCTCTTGAAACTAGTCACCAGTGAGCATATATTGATTAGTGTCGGAAGGGCTTTTGTGAAGATTGTAATAATTTCAGTAGTTGAGATCATGAGCCAATTGAAGCTGGACCACCATGAAAAACCTGGAAGCACTGGACGGCCGTTTCATTCTATCGTGGGACTCCTCAGCAGGGCTCATCCACTACCTCGCCTCGCGGGAATGCAGAATTCAGTAACATTAGTCTTGCATAAACTAATCTATCATTTATAAAGGTACTCTGTTTTGACAAATTCCTTTCTCTCTATTCTATATAACTTTTTTATTTACGAAAATTTTATTCATCGAACATTTTTAACGTAACCAAATTTAAAGTTATAGAATGATGAATATTATCAGTGCTTGATGTCACTAACTTCTAGCCTTACCCATGTTGGTAGATGCAAACTACTTGGTTGGTCCGCATAGCTATCATAACCATTGGTTGGAGACTCTGTGTGACATGGCTCGGAATCGATCACTATGGCGTAGGTCTATAAACTCTTTGTCTTCCTTTAAACTACGAGATTAAAATCGCTTTATATCTTTCTTTCTACGAACTAATTCTCTGTTCCTATACTATGTCCTCATATGCAATCTTTCATTTATATTATTACCACCTCTGAATTAACTACTTCTATGAATCTGGTGTTCATCTTTCTGTGCTAATAAGGTATGGTAACTTGGATCGATGTATATATGTGTCTCGTACTACGTTGTAGCTAACTGACTGATAATCTATTGAAGAATACTTTAAATAATGACTTGTCTTATCTTTTGGAATATTTAGTGGTAGATATTTTATTACCAGCTTTGACAAAGTGGTAATGAAAATGCACTTTTTAATAAGAATTTAGTAAGTAGACAAAAGTATATATTCCAATGACTTGGAAATCAGTTATTTTATTTGTCAGTAACCTTATAGTCATTGTTTAAATATCTATATTCCTATCGATTATAATATTATTATATTTCTGATCATATGGTTATTTGTTCATTGCTAACTGAAATACTAAAGTCAATGACAATATATTGATTGATTAATAAATTAATTGTATATAATTAGTAAAACTCTGAGAATGGAATGTAAAAGCACGATACTGAATACTAAGTAATTACTAAATTTAATGGAAGAACATTGAAAATAGTTATATAATGCTATAACTGTGACGGCAGCCGATTAGAGGACAGCGAATTATCGATCGGACCAAAGACGCACAAACACGTAAGAACGACCTAGGGTTCCGATTGGTCCCGCTTCCCTGACTAGCCCAGCCAGTTGAGTCCAGAACACAAGTCTCAGCCTCGGAGATATGAATTGTTATATTTCAAACACACTCTGCTTATATACCAATCAAGCATACCACATCGTATCACAAAATAGAAAATAACATTGTACAATATTGACCAGTAGGAAAATGACACATGAAATAAATATTGACCAATAAGAAAATAACACCATCTCAAGTCCAAGGATAGCGTTAGGTTTAATAGAATAACTTTTGGGATATTTTTCTGAATATCCCAACATAGATTTAAGTAACAATAAACACTTTTTCATTCATTGTACCACAGTTCATACCTAATAAAATTAGTAAATTGTTTGTTATACGGATTGATTTTAAGGATAAATGTATTGATTTATCGATTATATAAAATTAATAAATAACAGACTAATTAAAGTGTTTATATTCAATAGTTGAATATAATTAATGGCAAGAACCTAATCATGTGAGAGTGATCTTTTTCCTCTTTAATGATCCTTGAAATTTAATATCATGGACAGGTATTGATTAGACAACCATCAAAAACCAAAGAGTACTATACTGATCTTTTTTATCATAGTATGAAACTTCTGAAAATTATACATTCTTTTACTTGTCAGTGCTCAAACTCAAAGTCTTTAAGCAGTGTACGGAATGTCTTACTTTTAAACTACTAAATAAGTATTCAATGAATTACATTTCTAACTGAGAATGTCATATGAAATTAAGTAGGCTTATGTTGATGAAAGTATGAATCGGGTTTGATAGCATTTTAGAGAACGTATAAATGTGTTAAAGATTACCTCCTTATATGGTGGTCAATGAAATGCACTAGACATCAGTGTTTATCGAATAATCTTTTACAACCAGATACTAGTTCTAATAAACGTAAAAGCATAACCTTCAGTTAATTTTTTATTCACTTATCTGATATAAATGTATTAGGTCTTATAGATAGGTGGCTAGTTATTAATTACTCTTGAAGGTTTTTCAAGCAAATTGAAACGATTTCATCTTTTAATTGAACATTTTAACAACTTTTGAAAACCAGGAGGCACATGACAGCTGTTTGGCCCTAATAATGGACTCTTCATAGGTGCGCATCGACGACCTCATCGTGGACAGAATCCAAAACTTTCACGTGTTGCAGAGATCACTTTACTCTTAAACCCCAGAATTCGAACCCTGTGGTTTGCTTTTTTTAACCTGAATTAATTTACAATACTGTTCAATCATCTTCCAACGCTATCGATATGTAATTGCCTCATAATAGACATGGCTGAACTCGATTGTTTATTGCTCCTCACTAGAACTCAAAGAATCACCTTCCGAAATCAGATAATCGTGAGCACTTGAATATTACTGGTATGGGAAATTCGTGAACATTGTTGAATTTCATGGTTCGCATCACAAATTGATCTTAGTTAAGGAACACTGGATAGTTTTATCATTAGCGGATCTATTATCAGTCCCCATTAACTCATATTAGAGTATAAGCCAGTTGTATGAAGTTTTAGATGGTACCTTATTCATTTTAAATAATGGCCTGAATTAGTATAAATCAGAAGCTATTTATTCTATTTCTGATTATTCAATGGTTGTCTAACTAAAGTCAAACCGTAATATACTAAATTTATCAACATAATTTATGAATTTTATCGGACCGTTTACATTCTGATCTATTTCAATTTATATAAACAAATAGAAACTATAAGGTTTTACATATGAAACTTTGTATAGTCCTTATGAGCAATAAATTATGTGTAGTTTAAAAAAAATTATCATTTTATAAAACAAAATCTCATGGATGTTTTACATACACGTATAATATCACAATAGATTTTCAGTAACAGTAGTGTAATGTAAATAACTGTTAATGATTAATCCTCCAAGCTTACAATCTTCTGTATGTTAATTAGAATATAAGGATAATTCTTCTATCCTTTTATTCTTATGGAAAATGTCACTGAATTGAAAGTAATGTTAATTCATAGCTCATTATAACGATATTGAATCCGATCGATTTGTGAATGTATAACAGTAAGGGAATATCATAATAATATTCATTTAATCAAATGAATTAAATAGATTTATACAGAACTATTAAGATAAGTTTCTTGATTTTCACTTTTCATCTTGAAATATGTAGTTGAACCCTTGAAAATTCAAGTTTGAGATCATAATATTGTGACAATTGAGTCTTCTAATTAACAAATATTAGCTAACTTTAATTATAAGCGATCTTGATTATCAGTTAACTACTGTTTATAGTTAGATCCAGAACTGTCTCACTTATGGAATCGATTGATTATAACCAAATTACTCGAATGTAATTTATAATTGTATGAATTTAACCATTATAGTCAAGATTTGAATTTTCTAGGTTGTGGATACTGATTAGTATCAATGAATGAAAATATAGGTTAATGATTTATACACAATTATCACCTAATATGTAACTCAATTTACAAACTCTTTAATCACTTATCAGTACTAGTTTTCTGATTCAATAAATTAAGAATCACTGGTTCGAGTCCAGGTGTCATGGTAATTTCTCTTCCAAACTTAACTTTTTAACACATCTTATTAAAACTCTGAAAATTAATCTTATCATCGATTATTTAGACAATATACGTAAATTAACTTTGAAAAGTTTTTATTTTCAAATAACATTTACAAAACGTTAGAAACAATGTTGTGTGCACGTAAGGTCATTTAACCTTAGAGTTAATAAAGGACGAAATACTCAACAACTGTTATTATTGATTTTATTATCAGTAGGCTTATGTAAAAGAGTATCAACTCAATACAATCATGATTCATTTAACATAATACTACCAAGACTTGTACTTAATTAGTATTACATATAATATATATGAACCTTTGTACAAACCCAATACTACATTATTCAAAAAAAGAATAGTGTATTCAATATTTGTTGGATTATCTGTAAAAACTGTTGTCGGTGTTAAGTGTGATTAGATTTGGTGAATAGCAGTTATCGACAAAATCTATTTGTAGCTTACAGGACATAAATTTGAATATTAAAATGTCTGTCTGTCTCTCTTTATCCTCAAAGTATTATGACTCAACTCTAGTTGCACAAATCAAAATGTCAACTGTATTCTGAACACATATGTTAAACTAATGAGTGGAAACGAAGTATAATACTCTTCAAGAGAATTTGTTCTATCCTCTCTCCGATAAAGTTATTCTTAACTCAGTCCCCAACGATTAAGAAAATAAAAGAAAGAAAAAATGTTCATTCTCACTCCAATGAACAATTATCCTGGTGTAAACTAATGGATAGTTGTAGAATCTTTTAGTATTTATCATTCAGAGTGAGAATTTTGCATCATCGGACTTCACAGTATTCCTGCTATTGTTTAAAATACAAAGTAGCAATTATTAAAAGTTCTATCTTTCAGCTGACCAGTGTCTACGTTTTTTGGGAAGATAATACGTTTTCCAGCACAGACTTACTTTCAAATATGTTCCTTTCAATAATGCAGCTAGAAATAATGTTCACGAACTATTCAAAAATCATTTTAGTTTGGACAGTGAAATATGTGTAGGTATAATTGTCCCTGATGTAATTCATCACTAGGGATTAATGGTTGGTTGATATGAACAACATCAAGCAATTCTTTACCCACTTCCGTTTAAGAAACATTATCCTTCATACACACAGAAAATCTAAGTAAAAGTCCAGCATTTTAATCACTACGAAGATGAACTACATTATTTGGGTATATGATATCATTGATGAAGTTCTTTCGGACACTAAATAAAAAAGAATCAACATATGAATGTAATTTTATCTTTAATTTTACTAGGAGTCACAAAGGCAGATTTCTGCAATGTCTCAAACTAGGGTTAAGAAACTGTCCAGTGTTCTCCGCTTTCCAACAGCTCGTCAACTGAACTCACTTTATAATAAAAATGTTTTGAAATTGACCAGATCTTCATAAACCCTTCAGTTCAGTCATTATGTGAGATGAATTAAGTTAGTAGCTATGACTCAAAGAATTTTCAGAGAAAAGCAGAAAAGTATTTTGTGTTTTATAATTTCTGAGCTAACTGATGTTTACTTGTCAGTTTAGGGTTATGGAGATAGTTGAATGTCAATGGAATCTCCACAACCTTATACTGACAATTATCATGCGCTAGTGACTAACTTTGAGAGAAATTTTCCGGATTTCTAGTCGAAAGCCGTGACCAGTGTAGATACACTATGTCGAGTATGAGGAAGGTACCCATCAAAGACAACAGGAGACAGTCGTGCACTTGCGTGGACTGATTGAAGTATCCTAACCCAGTGGTCTTAGTATTAAACGTTCGCGCGTGTAACCGGCTTCAACTTCCGCATGCGGGGTCGTGGATGTGCACTGCTAAGGAGTCCCACACTAGGAAGAAGCTGCTGTCCGGTGCTTCCAGGTTCTCAATAGTGGTCTAAAGTAGGTCGGTTCATGATTCCAATGATGCTTATTCATTGAGATTTACATATCGTATACGTATTGATTGTACATTGAGTTACTTCTGACACTAAACTCATACCAGTACAGAAAAAAATATCTATTAGAAATACTAAAGTAGAATGAACTAACCAAACAGGTACTTTTACAGTGGCTTTGGAAGTAGAGCACGGAAACAGATTACTAAGAAAGGGATTCATCAAAACTCACATAGGCCGGGAGTAAAAATAATAGATCCCTGACGATGAAAAATTTAGTGAAGAGTAATGAAAATTTAAGCTTACTAAGAAGAAATGACAAATTGGTAAGAGATATAATCAGTGTTTTAGAAATATAATCATCCCCAAATAATTCCCTATCTCAAGTGATTATCAATGATACTTTACAATGACATATTAATTAGTTTTGATTAGTTAGTTAACTGAGTGAAATCTTATTTTGGATTTATTAATACTTGGGAAATCATTTTAATAGGTTTAAGCTATGCGAAGTGAAGTAACCATGAGAATAGTTCATAGTTCATAATCTTTTAATAAAGCACAATTATTTTATCACCTTTATTAAGTGATTGGTTATAGTAGTAGAGTTTACTAGAAAAACCCCAGCTTCATTGCTTCCACAAGCTATCGAGTTTAAATTAGTCGGAAATCCGAAACCAATCGATTTCGCCAATTCGCTACATATGTTTTCAAATGCTGCCATCGTTTGTGTATAAATGCAAACTTTTGATTCATGTAGTGTATCTTGTAAATCTGATTAAATTCCCTTCTTATACTTTTTACAATCAGACGGTTCAAATGAACCATGTATTGCTGCTTGTAAAAATAATACTGCTTTCGCTACTACACTACAAGATAACCCGATATTACAGCCTGAAAATATTGATCAACTGGCTCATCAGCAGAAAAAAGAGTCTGAGGACAAAAATGTGAGTTCTAAGACAGTCATTATTATTTAAGTTTTATAGACTAAACAAATTAATGCATTTCGAAATTAGTGCTGCACTGCAGTTTCGGTACTCATTCAATAATAACTAACTCATTTATGCCCTTTGAACAAGTTGGTAGCTACATGAACTCAATAGACAGCATTCTGGGCGCTTGAAGCGAAGACAATGAGCTCAAATCTCAGTATGAATGCATCAATACAAGGATGTACGCTTATCCAGCTGACAAGTTACAAATAGAACAGAACACACCAAACATATCATTCAGTGTTTTAGATTACAATGGCTTCTCGATGAGCATTTTTTCTTACTATCGTAAAAATTGTAGGCAACTAAATAATTATGGAGTCAACCAGTTATTCAGAGAACTCAGTGTCTGTCCAAGCAAAACTGGAGTTGCCAGGTACATTTTCCAAATTATTTAGTACAAAATTAATCCATCATGGTCATTCCAGACAGCCTATTGAGTTCTATGTTTATTGATACAGTGAATGGATCATGTAATGAAATATTATGATTAATTTTTAAAATGTTAGGATCCTCTTTTTCAGTCCACAATTATACCAAAATGATCATGCAACTGAAACACTTGGTTTCCATACCACAACACTTTGATTTGAAAACGAGATCCAACTCAAATCTATGAGCTGAGTAGTTCACTGAGATCTACACACCGTTTTACAGATAATTTCACAACCTCGTAGTATTACCAAGGAACTTGTTGGAACTCATGTATGACAGGTTGTAAAGTTCGAAAGTTTTAAAAGTAAAGGCAGTTCTTAAGGCTGATTAACACTGATTTACAACTAATAGTTTGATCAACTTTCAAACTTTTTTAGATTTGTCAACTAATTACTAATAACATTAGTAATATTACCAATAAAATGGAAATGGATGCACTTACTACTGCTACAACAACAACAACAACAACAACAACAACGACTACTACTACTACTACTACTACTACTACTACTAATAATAATAATAATAATAATAATAATAATAATAATAATAATGAAGATGATTCTGACGATTATTACAAGATGAACAGTACAAGAAGAGGTATTTGTTTAATCATTAATAACATGATGTTTTGGCACTCGGATTTTCAGGTAAGTTGTGATTAAAATCAAATATAATTAATGTTATGAGTAAAATGTGACTTTAACTACATGATTTAATACAGCTCTTAAGAAAGAACCTCTTTATTAAATCAAAAATTATAGAATGAGTCCATGAAAGTGGAAAATGTACTACGTAGATATGTCTTGGTTGTTTAAATCTTTCCATTGCTGTTGATGACTGCAACTGATCAGTCTGTGCATCCTGTATGGATTACCTCTATATCACCATTAAGTCACAAGTATTGTGTATGCTTTATTTTTCTAAATTTATTTGAGCACATAAACATTAGTTCAAAGTAGGCACTAAATACATATGCGTCACACAAAAACAATGAGGTTGTGAAGAGATAGAAAATGTAAAATGCGTATAATAAAAAGAAGTACAATAACGAACGGAAATTTGTACATGATAGTGGAATAATAATAATAATAATAATAATAATAATAATAATAATAATAATAATAATAATAATAATAATAATAGGAGAGGCAATTCAGTTAGCAAAGGCATAACCAGGAAGAATTCTTCCAGTTACAAAAGTAACGTCCATTTTTTATGAAGTAAAATAAAGTTACAACAGGTTTGCCACTGGCTTCTATTCTGAGCAAGATTCGGTAACGTCTCTAGCCGGTGTTGCACCATCTCTAGGACCACAACCAGGGAGTCCTGAAGTAGCAACAGAGGCCAGTCTCGTACAGCTTTCTTTCATATCACGACACCATGTCATACACTGACCAATTCTCCGCTTTTCCCAACCAGTCCCAGAGTCGGCAAATAATGCACGACGTGGAATTCTCCCGGCGACATTCGTAGAACATGTCCAAGTCACAGAGCTCGGTGTTTCAACATGGTGACACTAATTGAATTATCGTCGCTCTACCTGAACATACGATGCCGAACCTCTGCATTGCTAACATGGTGTTGCCACTGAATGTCAGCAATCCTACGGAGACGACGATGATCAAACAAAGAGATTCGCCTAACATCCTCAACTCGGAGAGGCTAGATCTCAAGAGCATGGAGCAAAACTGCTCACACCGAAGGATTGTTGGTCCGACCTTTTACAGCCAGACTAACATCACGAAGGCGCCAAAGATGGTCTAAATCGGCATAAGCCGCTCTGGATTTTATTATACATGAATTGATCTCACCACTCATACCACCAGTAGCACTTGCGCAACTATCTAGATACACGAACTTCTCCAGTAATTCTATCTACTCACTACTCAAAGTGAGTGCAGGGTCCTGCCAGTCTTGTAAAAGCACTTTGCACTTCGAAGGTACAAAGCACATGCCATACCTACGGACACTAATTGACAACTGATTAAGTGCTGATTGAACGATTTTAGTATCATCCGCATACTCAAGGTCAAAGTTTTTCTCAATGCAACAGATCCATACCATCATTGCCTACTTTCATCAGAGCGAAGTCGGGGAGGAATAGTTAGATTGAGCGACCCTGCTTACCCCATTGCTTGGGTAGACAATAGAGAGAGATGGCCGTATGATTTCAATCTGCCTGAAACGTTTGTATATAGGGTTTTCAGGATGTTAATCAATTTCTCAGACACACCCTTCTTCAATAAACAATCCCACAGAACGGTCCTGTCCAACGAAATGAAGGCTGCCCTAATATCAAGAAACACTATGCTTGTTGGCCTGTGATAAGTATGGCGGTGTTCTACCATTTGATGGGGGGTGAAAACATGATCAATACGCCCTCAACCAGAACAAAAACCAGCCTGCTAGTTGCGAGTCAATCTCTCCTGGGTTTCGAACAATCTACCAATTATAACGGAAACCAATGGTTTGGACGCAACCGAAAGTAGACTTATCACCCAACAGTGACAACTTTAGATTCATTTCAGGGTGTTGGGACACTCTAATTGCCGAGCATCTGTAACCAACTCAATCAGTTCCTTAACCAAAAGGTCGTCACCATCTTTAAAAAGTCATCTGGACCTGGTGATTTGTGGCACTTCAGGATTTGGAGTTTCTTGCGGACCTCTGTTTCGTTAGGTGGATCAGTCGTCACAGGCCATGAAGAGTAGTACAGGCTGGTCTATGTTGTCAGGGCAGCAGACAAGTCGAATTATTCCTCGAAAAACTCAGCCCATTGTCCAAAACTTCCGGCAGTTACCGGAAGCAGCTGCTGTTTCCGGTTCACTAGCACGTCCGACCACCAGACTTATATGCAATTTCACTACGTAAAAATCTTCGTTTATCCTCGAATTCACGGTCACTTGGAGTAGACCGACGTGCTTTGATCACTTGTAAGGAGCCTGTAGAAACCCAATGCTTATAAGCGGGACGCTTTACGAAGTCGTAAGCTACTTTACTCAACGTTTTTATGGTATCATGAAGTTGCAGCCAATGCACATCTAAACTATCAGAAACAAAATACTGTGGGAGAGAACAAACCAGATCCTAGCGGAGGAAGAAATCAGGAAAAAGCGCTGGAAGTAGATAGAACACACATTGAGGAAAGCACCCAACTGCATCACAAGGCAAGCCCTCACATGTAATCCTCAAGACCAAAGGAAGAGAGTAAGACCAAATAACACATTACGCCGAGAAATGGAGACAGATATGAGAAAAATGGACAAAATTTGGACAGAACTAGAAAGGAAGGCCCAGGACAGAGTGGGTTGGAGAATACTGATCGGCCTACTATGCTCCATTGGAAGTAACAGGCGGAAGTAAGTAAGTAAGTAATAGCTAACCTAGAAACTAGCTCGGCTCGATACTTACTAGCAACAGAAGTTGCAACCAACTTGCTAATATCAATCCGTTGATGGTGGTCACTTCGTTGTCCACTGAAAAGTAAGGCAAGATTGGCGCAGACCAAGGCATGGTCAGAGTCCAGATAGGTACTCCAAAAGGAGCGGCAGTCTTGTACACAACCACGCCAGCGGTAGCTGATCGCGATGTGATCAATCTGAGTCCAGGCTTGGGATGCAGAGGGAGGACGCCAGGTGGCACATCGGCGATGACCGAGCCGAAAGTTAGTGCTAGCCAGAAACAGGTTGTGGTCTGTGCACAGTTGCAGTAGACGGTCCCCGTTATCTGACCTGCGACCAACGAGTCCCCATCGGCCACCTAAACGACCCTCTTCTGTGCCTAGACGCCCGACCTGAGCATTCAAATCTCCGGCTAGTACAACAATATCTGTTGAACGCACTTTCTGTAGAAGAACAGATAACTGGTGGTAAAACTCATTCTTGATTGCATCCGGACTGCAATCTGTCGGGGCATAGGCGGAAATGACGAAAAGACATCGTTTCTCAAGCCGATTTCTTCTCAATTTGATGGAGCTTTCCAATCTAACAGCGCATAACCGACTGTTAATGGGGATCCAATCGATTAGTGCTGCCTCAGCTCTAGCGCTTAGTGCGATACCAACGCCAGAAAAATCAAACGACGATGGATGGACAACAGACGTCGACACCAAGACTTCATAAAGACATAGCCAACCCTATCTATTGTTTAACGTGCATTAGTATGCAAACGTTGAAGGAGGCCAGTTTGGATGATTTGAGGAATTCTGTTTCAGCAATCGTAGTCAGTGGTAGCATTAAACTTTCAACCAGTCAGTGGCTGGAGATTGTTCATACAGGACATAATTTCCACCATAGGTGAGCTGCTGAGAAGCTGAAAAATAAAAAAAATACGCAAAATGGGGATAAAAGGGAGTAGATAAGTGATGTAGTATAAAAGAAACGAAAAAATGTTACCAACTGATTGTGAGTGAAATTTGTCTGAATGAGTGTTGAAGCAAGAGTAATTTTTCCAGTAGTAATCATCATTTGGTTTGTATGAGGTCCGAGACATTGCTCGGACTCCCAAACCGAAGCAGGTGATTTTCTTAGGGGACTACTCACCGAGTTTCTGACCTAAAGGTCTAATCCACAAGGCAGTGGAACGACGCTAGACGATGCAGTCCCATGGTGGCTGGTGACCAACAATAGGTTCATACACCATTTGTTTCCTCAGGATCCTGGGGCTTATGTGCACCATTGGTTTGGAATCAGGGTTTTCCGACTCCCCCAGGTGGAATCTCCGTGTCCACCAACCCGGTTAGAGTGCCGGACATCCGCTTTTCATCCATCCACAACCACTAATAACCAGAAAGCACTAGTCAGCTTTTTCATTCTATCACGAAACTCATCAACAGTGAAGATAATTAGGTAACAAACTCCAAGAATTTCATAGCTCTCAGCTTGTGAATAGTCTTCAAACCATCGAGTTAGTGTCTAATGGTGTGGATCTTTAGCTTCAGTCAATTTGTGCATGACACTACGCTATTATCATCTATTACTATTGGGGATATCTATAGTTTAATAAATGCTCCTAATCAGTTCGTATTTATTTATTGAAATAAAAAGTAAACAAATAAGTTACCTTATCAAATTTGTGTGATCTGAGAGAAATTATCCACAAAAGACAGAAACCGATAAGCCATTGGAATTTATGAAGCACTGAGCGTGCTTTCACTATATTAAGAATCGACTGAGATTGGAAAATACGAATCATTGCTTTTTGACTTCATAATTGAATGGTATCATTTCTAGCAAATGAACTGCAACTTTCAAATCCTATAACGTGTAAAATCACGATTATTGTATCAATAAATAATTTCAGGCTAGGTTGAAGCATCCAACTGATACGTTTTAATGTTTGGAAATAATTCAAATTATGCTCATCTGTGATGAAAAGATTGTTCAATTTAATGTCTCAGAAAAATATTGCAGTCAAGTAAATTTTATCAAATTAGTCATAGAGCATAAAATTTATTTCATACTTATCATTCTTTTGTTCCATTTATTTTTCCGACTATATTAAAGATAATGAACTTTCACTTTCTTGATATCATTATCATCAGTTCTTTGACATTCGATCTGTTGATTTCTGGTTATTACTATAAATCTGTTTTCTGTTTAAATCCAGTATGAGTTTACTAACACTTAGTGTGTCAAAAGATAGACCGTTCATCCGTCCCACAATCTATGAATTCGAATGCCAGAATGATCAGCTGAGCACATTGTACTACCCTGTTTGTACCAAACTGGGACATTTATGGTACGAAACTCAGTCAAAGGTTTGTGAAAAAATTACTGATTCATAAGTAGTAAAAGACATAATGGTGGTTAATAAGGCAAATAAAAGTCTGAAATTAGGACAATGTGGCAATACCATAATCCAAGTGTTTAGTAAATGGGATTTTAAAATATAAGTACTGATTTCACAGAGAATAGCTTTCAAAGTTTTACATTTTCAGTTATTCACTCAGTATTAACGATTGTTGTAATATGAAGTGTATCAAACTTAACTGATATTTAATAGTACCTTGTCCCACTCTTTGTATAATTCCCTGTCTAAGTCACTTAACTATCTGACTGAACTTATACGGTATTTCAACGTAGTGATAGAATCAATAATGTTTTCTCTTCACATTTCTTACAGAATCGTTCTGGCTGTGACATTGATGAGAAGAGTTTGGAAAATGTTTTCGGATCATTTAACTTTTTGGTGAAATTACTTCGTAATCTATCAGCTGGTGAAATACAAGCTCAACTGGAACACTTAGGAAAGAAAACAGATCATCACGAATATGATTGTTTAGTAATATGCCTTATGTCACATGGAACTATTGGTCGGATATATGGAGTTGATGGAAATTCTTTATCAATACATGAATTAACTTCCATATTTACAGCTGATAATTGCCCTTCTCTAGCTGGTAAACCAAAATTATTCTTTATTCAAGCATGTCGTGGTGAAGACTATCAAAAAGGCTATGTTATACAGAAACAATCAAATGAAACTACTCAAACTAAAAATGATCTAACTGATCAAGAGGATGTTGATAATTTTATTCAACATCAGTCATCCAGTTTAAATCTAAGACTATCCGTTTCTGATGCGAAATTTATCGGTTTCAAATTAGACAATTTACTCCATAATTCTATACCACTTCAACTGAATAATGTACAGTTAATTCCCACTTATGCTGACTTTCTACTAAGTTATGCTACTGTTGCTGGTTTCCGTGCACAAAGAGATCCAACCGGTGGTACTGTTTATATTCAGGCATTATGTAAACGATTATATAAAGGATTACAAAATGAAAGTATTCTTGATATAGTTACAGCTGTACATCGTGAAGTTAGTAAACAGTTATATCAAGAGACATCTTGTCAGTTAATGAAAACAAATGGTGAATTATTTCTTCAAATTCCTGAAGTTAGACATACACTAACAAAGAAAGTTTGTTTTAAACGATAAAACATGAAATACAGTTTTCTTCTCAAGATTCTTCATTACTATTTACTTAAAATCAATAATAACAATGATGTTAATTGTATTAATATGGAACTACTAATTAATTGAGAAAACAAATTATTACATCTCGGATTATCACTCATATCGAAAGACTACATTTTATGATCCAAACGGCTAGAAAGGTGTACGGACAGATTCATGAATGCTAACAAATGTTTAGTCATTAAAAAGTAGTCAGTTGGTGAAAATTCAGACTGTAATCGCTAATTTGGGTAACTAAGCAGTATTGTTCACGGCATTAGTCATTAAAAACACACAGACAGATTTCTTACATATGTGCACACTAGTAACAGTAAAACATATTTGGATATCCGCGGAAGCATAGTTTTGAAATTCGAAACAATGATGTTTGGTGAAGAGACAAATCCAAAGCCATTATAGTTGAACAATTCAAGCCACAGCCAAGTGTTTCTCGGATTTTGAACAACCTACGAAGTATAACGGAAGCCAATGGCTTGGACGCAATCGGAAGTAGACTTATCCCCCCGATAGTTGTTACAGGAACGACGTGAACCCTTTTTAAAGATAGGGACAACTATCGACTCATTCCATGACGTTGGTACACTCTCTAGTTCCCAAACCTTTGTAAACAACGTCGTCAATTCCTTTGTCAAAAAGTCACCACCATCTTTAAAAAGAGCCGGAGGTAAGTCATTTGGGCCAGGTGATTTGTAACGCTTCAAGAGTTGGAGTTCCTTGCGGACTTCCTCCTCGTTTGGTGGATCAGTCGTCACCGGCCATGGAGGGCAGGACAGTCTGGCCGATGTTGCCGGAGCAGCAGGCCAGTTGAACTGTCCTTCGAAAAATTCTGCCCATCGTCCAAGACGTCGATGGATGTTAGTGATTGGCATCCCATCATCCTCGCAGATTGTTTCGCTCACACTAGACTTCTTGCTGCCAGTGGCTCGGATGAGTTGGAAGAGCTTCCGGTAATTACCAGATGCAGCTGCTGCTTCCAGCTCATTAGCACGCTTCGACCACCAGGATTCTCGGTCCTTACGCAAGCTTTGCCCAATTTCCTTACCTAACATCCTTCGTTTGTGGTCAAACTCACGGTCACCCGGAGTAGACCGACGTCAGTCAGTCAGTCAGCTACAACGTAGGACCAGGCACATATATGCATCGGTCCAGGTTGTCATACCGCATTAGCACAGCACGATGAACACCGGATTCATAGGAGTGGTTAGGTCAAAGGTGGTAATATATAGGAGAAAGATTGCATATAAGGATACAGTACAGGAAGAAAGAATTAGTTAGTAGAAAGAAAGATATGAAGTGATTTTAATCTCTTAGTTTGAGTGAAGACAGGGGGTGTATACACCGACGTCATTGTGATCGATTCTGAGCCGAGTCTCCAACCATCGGCTCCAATGAGTTGTAAGGAACCAGAAGAAACCCAGTGCTTATAAGTGGGACGTTTCGCGAACCCACAACTGACTGTACCCGCCATTTTCATGGCGTCATGCAATTGCAGCCAATGCTCATCTATACTTTTCGGTGGAGTGGTAGCTAGCCTAGAAACTAGCTCGGCTCGATACTTACTAGCAACAGAAGTTGCAACCAACTTGCTAATATCAATCCGTTGATGGTGGTCACTTCGTTGTCCACTGAAAAGTAAGGCAAGATTGGCGCAGACCAAGGCATGGTCAGAGTCCAGATAGGTACTCCAAAAGGAGCGGCAGTCTTGTACACAACCACGCCAGCGGTAGCTGATCGCGATGTGATCAATCTGAGTCCAGGCTTGGGATGCAGAGGGAGGACGCCAGGTGGCACATCGGCGATGACCGAGCCGAAAGTTAGTGCTAGCCAGAAACAGGTTGTGGTCTGTGCACAGTTGCAGTAGACGGTCCCCGTTATCTGACCTGCGACCAACGAGTCCCCATCGGCCACCTAAACGACCCTCTTCTGTGCCTAGACGCCCGACCTGAGCATTCAAATCTCCGGCTAGTACAACAATATCTGTTGAACGCACTTTCTGTAGAAGAACAGATAACTGGTGGTAAAACTCATTCTTGATTGCATCCGGACTGCAATCTGTCGGGGCATAGGCGGAAATGACGAAAAGACATCGTTTCTCAAGCCGATTTCTTCTCAATTTGATGGAGCTTTCCAATCTAACAGCGCATAACCGACTGTTAATGGGGATCCAATCGATTAGTGCTGCCTCAGCTCTAGCGCTTAGTGCGATACCAACGCCAGAAAAATCAAACGACGATGGATGGACAACAGACGTCGACACCAAGACTTCATAAAGACATAGCCAACCCTATCTATTGTTTAACGTGCATTAGTATGCAAACGTTGAAGGAGGCCAGTTTGGATGATTTGAGGAATTCTGTCTTTTCGGCTCAGAATCGATCACAATGACGTCGGTGTATACACCCCCTGTCTTCACTCAAACTAAGAGATTAAAATCACTTCATATCTTTCTTTCTACTAACTAATTCTTTCTTCCTGTACTGTATCCTTATATGCAATCTTTCTCCTATATATTACCACCTTTGACCTAACCACTCCTATGAATCCGGTGTTCATCGTGCTGTGCTAATGCGGTATGACAACCTGGACCGATGCATATATGTGCCTGGTCCTACGTTGTAGCTGACTGACTGACTGACGTCGGTCTACTCCGGGTGACCGTGAGTTTGACCACAAACGAAGGATGTTAGGTAAGGAAATTGGGCAAAGCTTGCGTAAGGACCGAGAATCCTGGTGGTCGAAGCGTGCTAATGAGCTGGAAGCAGCAGCTGCATCTGGTAATTACCGGAAGCTCTTCCAACTCATCCGAGCCACTGGCAGCAAGAAGTCTAGTGTGAGCGAAACAATCTGCGAGGATGATGGGATGCCAATCACTAACATCCATCGACGTCTTGGACGATGGGCAGAATTTTTCGAAGGACAGTTCAACTGGCCTGCTGCTCCGGCAACATCGGCCAGACTGTCCTGCCCTCCATGGCCGGTGACGACTGATCCACCAAACGAGGAGGAAGTCCGCAAGGAACTCCAACTCTTGAAGCGTTACAAATCACCTGGCCCAAATGACTTACCTCCGGCTCTTTTTAAAGATGGTGGTGACTTTTTGACAAAGGAATTGACGACGTTGTTTACAAAGGTTTGGGAACTAGAGAGTGTACCAACGTCATGGAATGAGTCGATAGTTGTCCCTATCTTTAAAAAGGGTTCACGTCGTTCCTGTAACAACTATCGGGGGGATAAGTCTATTTCCGATTGCGTCCAAGCCATTGGCTTCCGTTATACTTCGTAGGTTGTTCAAAACCCGAGAAAGATTGACTAGCGAGGAGCAGGCTGGGTTTCGTTCTGGTAGAGGATGTATTGATCATATCTTCACCTTTCGCCAAATGTTAGAACACCGCCATACTTATCAAAGGCCAACAATCGTAGTGTTTCTTGACATCAGGGCTGCCTTCGATTCGTTGGACAGAACTGTTCTCTGGGATTGTCTATTGAAGAAGGGTGTGCCTGAGAAGTTTATTAACATCCTAAAAGCCCTATATACAAACACCTCAGGCAGAGTGAGGGTATATAACCACCCCTCTCCATTGTTCCATTCAAGCAATGGGGTTAGACAGGGTTGCCCAGTCTCACCATTCCTCTTCAACTTTGCCATCGATGACATTCTGGAAAAAGCTCTGATCAATGAAAGTAATGGTGGTGTGGATCTGTTGCCTGGAGAAAGACTTCTCGACCTTGAGTATGCGGACGATATTGTCTTACTGTGCGATAATGCCCAAGGCATGCAATCCGCACTTAATCAGTTGGCAATCAGTGTCCGTAGGTATGGTATGTGCTTTGCACCTTCGAAGTGCAAAGTACTTCTACAAGACTGGCAGGATTCCAATCCTGTACTCACCCTGGATGGTAAGCAGATAAGCGTAACCGAGAAGTTCGTGTATCTGGGTAGCTGCATAAGTGCTGGTGGTGGCGTGAGTGATGAGATCAATGCACGTATAGTGAAAGCCAGAACGGCTTACGCCAATCTGGGCCACCTTTGGTGCCTTCGTGATGTTAGTCTGGCCGTAAAAGGTCGGATCTACAACGCGTCGGTGAGAGCAGTTTTGCTCTATGCTTGTGAAACCTGGTCTCTCCGAGTTGAGGACGTTAGACGACTCCCTGTGTTCGATCATCGCTGTCTCCGAAGGACTGCTGACATTCAGTGGCAACACCATGTCAGTAATGCAGAGGTTCGGCATCGCGTGTTCGGGCACAGAGATGATAATTCAACTGGTGTCACCATCTTGAAACACCGACTTCGGTGGCTTGGACATGTTCTACGAATGTCGTCCCAGAGAATTCCACGTCGTGCATTATTTGCCGACTCTTGGACTGGTTGGAAGAAGCGGAGAGGTGGTCAGTGCATGACATGGTGTCGTGGCATGAAAGAAAGCTGCAAAGGACTGGCTTCTATCGGTCCTTCACGACTCCCTGGTTGGGGTCCGAGAGATGGTGCTACACAGTGGCTAGAGACGTTATCAGATATGGCTCAGAATAGAAGCCAGTGGCGATCCTGCTGTAACCTTCTTTTACTTTCTTCATAAAAAGTGGTTATGTCTCCCTTAGCTGAAAGATTTCTTCTGATTGTACTTCGCTACTACCACACTACCTTACACCAATCTCTTCGTTATTGTTCTTTTTCTTTTGCGCTCCTTAGTTTTTTTTTCTATTTTTTTCACTTTCTTTTCGCATTCTCATTGTTTTGTGTGGCGCATATATATTGGCGCTCTCTTGTGCCAATATTTATGTGTTCAAATAAATAAGGTAATTAACAGATCTGTTATATTAAATATTGATCTTTATGCAGTGCACCACACTAAAGTGAGAAATCGGTCCACAGTTTTCTGTTGAATTTAATATGGAGCAATATTATCTGAAGGCGAGTCGATCAATATCATACTCCCACCTGGTACATGGAAATTGCTGGTTCC